TGTTAGTTTTGCTACCCCACCCACAAATCCACTCTATTTTTCCCCTCTGGAAGCAAACAAAAAACTGCAAACACTTTCTGTGTGCCAGTGGCTGATGTTAATGTCTGAATGGTGCTACAGCAGCGTTTTGCTGCTTGGCCAGCTGCTTTGAGGAGGAAGGGTGCAGATCTGGGGCTGTTCACGCAGTGCAGGGAACATCTGGTGTGCTGGGAGAGGTACTGCTGTCCCCTCTGGGGTGCCCAGCCCTGAGTTTTGCCCACTGAGCATGGGCTGGGGGTGGATGCCAGAGCCCGAGTGGGTGATGGTCTTGGAGCCTTGTGCAGCCCTCAACTTTGCCACAAGGAGGAAGAACCTGCAAAGGGAATATTCTAAATGAAAGTATGCAGGAAACACAGTTGGGTTTGATTGGTGTTGGCGGGTTTTTTTTGTGAATTTATTTTTTAACTCAGTTTAGCTCACAGCCAGCAGGCAGTTATGATAAGCTTAGGGCACGGTTGTTGCCAAATAAAATAAGACTAATTTTTTTTCAAATGTGGAAAAAACATGGTAAAACAGCAATTTGCTTTCTTCCCTAAGCAAGTCTCTGGCTGTTGAGCTGGCACAGGTCAGCCCACTGCAACCTTGGCAGTGTTTTCAATGACAGCCGTTCAGAGAGGATGCATTCATTAAAGAGCAGTGGTATCTACATTGAGATACTTCTGCTTTCTCACACTCTGCTGCTCACTTGGAGCAGATAGGATATTTCCTTCTGCTCTTGTGAACTTCCATCTGTGATTTAGTTCTATAGCCACTTCCCTGGGGTGTCACTGCCATTGTGAGCTGGGGTGTTTTGCTCTGGACCAGGAAATCTCTGTAGCTGGCAGTGGGAGTGTGCAGCAGGTGAACACCATGTTCATTAACTCAGGGATAAATGTTTTGGTAGGAGGAAAAAAAGGCTAACCAAGCCTGAAAGTTTTTGGCCTAAACAGTACCAAATCTATTCCCAAGAGCACAATCTTGCTGGCTTGCAGTCCCTGTGTCTTGGCTGCCTTTTGGTTGAAGCTGCAGCTGGAAGCTGCTGAGCAAAGATCACAGCCAAGTGCCTGTGGCCAGGGCTGGTGGCTTGAGGGAGCTTTTTTTTGGATGCTAGCAACCCTGCAAGTGTATTCTGCAGGAGTGGGTGGGTTGTTGTTGATGCACATGGCTGCTGGGCATTTTAATCCACTGGAGCTGCATTCATTACCTTCTACTTCAGGCAGAAAGGAGCCAAACACCCTCAGACCTTTTAAAGACCATTTTGGTTGTGTGATGCCAATGTGGCAGCAGCTGGACACACTGATAAAAATGGTGAACCACTGTTTCTCTGCAGCCCACACTTTATCCTGGGAGCTAACAGCTGGGATTCACCTTCTCATCTGTAACCACCAGCAACAGGAAGGAAGCACTGCTGGCATGTCAGAGAGCAAGCCTCTTTCTTCTTTTCCTCAGCAAGGTGCAGGTGTGCTGGCACAAAGCAGACCAGCTGTTTGATTCTTTTTAGCAGGGGATGCCCACAAACGTAGATGTCCAAAAAGTTTTTTAGATATTAGGTTCCCAAATTCTTTGTAACAGAGTAGTCAAGAAATGGCCATGTAAAGCTGAGTACTCCTGCCCTCCTCACAATGGACCTCAGCTAACAAAACCCCACTACTGCTACTGGAATAATCTGGTTCAAGGACTGAGGTTTAGCTGCTCTACCTCCAGCTGTGCCTGCACTCGAGCCCGGTGCCCTTGGCTCCTCCTGTGGCAGCAGGGAGGGATGATTTCTGCTGCAGCCACAGAACTGCCTGCAGCTTCTGGTGCTTCCTCATGCTGCCCACAAAAAGGTGTTTCAGGGAGTGAACTCTGCCCTTCACCCACCAGCTGCAGCTGCCCCAGCTCACCCCTGGCAGCAGGTGCCATCCTGATCCCCCTGTGTCCTGACTCAGCTGTGCTCATTTCTGAGTTATTTTCTTCTCAGTAGCTGTTACAGTGCTGTGTTTTGGATTGGGAATCCAAGCAGTGTTGATAACACACTAATGTTCTGTTTTTCTGCTAAGCAGTGTTTACCCTAAGTCAAGGACGTTTTTCTGCTGTCTCATGCTCTGCCTGTGAGAAGGGATGCAAAAGAAATGGGGGAGCACAGCTGGGATAGGTGGCCTGTGCTCAGTAGGGATATTCCATACCACAGAATGCCATGCCCAGTATATAAATGGGGCAGGCTTACCCACAAGGGGGGCCTGCCATCAGTCAGAGGGTGGTGACCACTTGTATTGTCCATCATTTGTTTTTCTATGGTCATTTTTTTTAATCTTTCACCATTACTACTATATTTTACTAATTTTCTCAACGTACAAATTTTGCTTGGATTCTCCTCATTGCCCTGGGGTGGGGAGAAAGAGAAGGGGGGTTGAGTGAGCAGGGGTCTCTAAAGGGGTGGCTGTCACCTTGTGTCTGCTCAGGTCCCTGCTGGTACTGCCTGAGCTTACCAAGTATGAAATTTCCAATGATTCAAACTGGTCATTCTGGACAAGCAGTGCTGGAGAGTGGACATGCTTTTAATCTCATTTAGTGGCATTTAGCACACAGAAACTTCTGCTCATGCCTCTGGGACCTGCTCGTCCGGCAGCATTTTGATCATTAATATTCAAGAACATCTGCTTGAACAAAGCTCAGCATCAAGCAGAGACAGCAGCACTTGGGAAGACCAGCAGAGAATTGTTCATCACTGCTGCAAGTCCAGAGTTTAAATTAATCCAAAAGTGGGGGCCAGGGAATCAGACCTGAGCACCTCTGAGCCTCGTCTCTTCTGGCAGATGGAAATCCTGCCAACAGCACTTGTGTAAGGGCCACGTGCAGAACCAGCACAGTGGAGCAGGAGAGGTTTTCCTGCTTATTAAGGGATGGATCCAAACGAGGCTCTACCAAATTCTCAATCATTATCCCAGCCTTGTATGAATTTAGACTAGTCCTGCAGTGCCCTGGGTTACTGCAGAAGGTACCATATGGGACCCATAGCAGCATCTTTATCTTGATGCTTCTGTCTCTATGATGGTTTATATTGCAAGATCCCATAGCTGGGCTGGAGGCTGGATGATGACCTGCCAAGGGCATTTAAAAACTCCACCTTCACCTTTATCATGTGCTCCCACCAGGCAGGAGCCAGCAGCGCCCTTGAATGCATGACACAGGTTCTGCTGCCAGCATGGGAGAGCATCTTTCATGCTCTCGATCAGCACCTCTGTGGGCTTACTGTTCCCTTCTCTCATGCCACTTGGATTTTGTGGCAGCTTTTGAGGTTAAAATTCCAATTGCACTTAACATGCTAGAAAAACTTCAAAATCATGCAGGAAGCAGGTAAAAAAAGCAGTTCAGAAGCTGCCTGGCTTCTAGACCTGCTGGTTATCTTCTCTTAGTTTACTCTGATACAGCATTTCCTAAGTCCATTTTTGAGCACTGTCCTGCTCCTCAATATAACTGGTGCTACTCCACAGAAGGCTGCAAGCAAACCACTACACCTTGGCATTCCTCAAACTTCCTGGTTGCTTGCAGCTTGAAAACTCACTGCTTCATTTTTCTGTTTACTTCTAACACTACATGTTTTTAATGACGCCCATAAAAAAATCAGCCCTTTGCAAAAACCATAAACCCCATGAAAAATAGAGTGCTCTGCACATTTTCCATTGTTCCTGAGCAGAACTTATTCACCCTGTCCAAGGGCACTGCAGATCAATGAAATGCTTCCTTTAGTTACATGTTCAGGCATTTCATGCTGACTATGTCCCTCTTGACCGAAGACAAACTGAAGCAGCTCACATAAAACCAGAAATATAAGCATATATAAAGCTTTCCTGCTAAACTAAATCCTGCTGGGGATCTCACTCAAGGTAACCATTGCCCTCTGAAATGGCACAGTCATTTTTACCTGAATTACACTTACTACTTAATTACTGCTTAATCAGGATTGCATGGCACCCCCCTGCATGGTTGCAAGGAGCAACACAAGGGAGAAGCTGACCTAGACTTGCTGGGTGCTTCAGTTTCTGAAACAGGACATGGATCCCACCAAGGAGCCCAGCTCATGAAAGGCAGGAGCTCTCATCCTACACACCCACACCCCTGAACACAAATCCACACAGGACTTGAGCAGTACGATGAGGACAGCAGTTGTGAGCAGGCCCTGGCTACTGCCGGGGAGCACATCATGTTCCACAGCAAGACACAAAGGCTGACTTCCTGTGTTCCTCTCGGCATCCTCAGATGGCTCCTGCAGCCATCTGCAAGCTGGGTCCTGCTGTAGAGCCCAAGGAGACACAAGTTAGTGGCAGTATTTATGAAAGCACACACCCCCCTGGAATGTGATCTGCTCTTCAAAACTCTCAGCAGTCCCTCTCCTGGGAACTGGGCATTTAATGCCACAGGACACTGAGCACCAGCCTGAAGTGTAGCTGTGGAGAGATACCTACACAAACAGCCCTAGAAAAAAATTGAGCAAAATGGTGTGACTTATGTATAAGAGTTGTTTTACAAACCTCTGAAAGCATTTGATCACACTCCCTGAGCCTTGCATTGCTTCCAAGTGCACCAATAATGGAGTGTTTCCTTCCCTGTGTCATTCCCTGTGAGCGAAATGATGCGTACACCTGAAGGACATGAAAGAATGTAAAAGCTGAGCTATTAAACCTTCATTTACAGATGTAACAATGAGGTTATCCCACTCTGTGTTCTTTGCTCTTTAACATAAAACCTTTGAGAATATAATTAAATAGTTCCCTCCCTGCTCCCTCCTAAAAAGGATGTTGAAGGGACAACCCTTGCAGTGTGCATTCCAAAAACAGGGGAACAGAGACAGACACATTTAGCAATCTTTCCCAAACCACAGAGGAACACAGTGATAAAGCCAGCAATAAAAACATGCTTTGAAAAAAAACTTCAGACTTATGCCACCTAAATCACATGTTCAGTCAATAACGTAGAAGATTGTGTGGTACAAATTAAAATAATATTTTTATTGATATACTTAAACAGTATGGTAACAGCATAAAAATCAAACAAAAGATAAAACTATTCCTTGCTGTACCTTACAGACATTTCTGTTTCATTTTTTTTTTCTCAGTAATCACATGGAGGGGACTGACATCTTCCCACAGATTTTATGGGTTTTTAACTGCATTGGTTTGTTCCCAGGGAGTCTAAGGATTGTGATGAGCACCATGGTTGTGGCTGTTTTTCCCCAAAGCCTGATACCAAGAGGAGCATCCTGTCCATTCCACACAAACACTGCACAAAGGGTTATGCACATTTGCAGGCTTCCAGATGAAGCCCTGACAGACCCCAGGAGAACCAAGGTTATTAACCTGCTTACACTGGAATGCAAACCCACAAAGTTATGGGTTCCTCTAAGACACATTTTCCATCAAAGTTACCGAGGCTTGGAAAAGCCACAAAACTACCAAGAAAAGGTAAGAGGAGAACTCAAAAGATTTCTAATAAAGATACCTCTAATACAAGTTTAATCTATAAACTTTTCCTGTCAAAAGACAAAGCATATATAGAAACATACAAGAAATATTCCTTGGGGAAAAAAGGCTACAGAAAATTACAAAGTATCAGCTGCTTTAATTTATCTTTATCCTTACAGAATTGCACTGTGCTCAGTCCTGTCTGTAAACACCACAGCTTCCTCAGTGCAATCTCTCTTACATCATAAATATTTCTGTTAATCACTCTTTTCCTCTCCTTGGTAATGTCTGTATTCCGGCTTCAGCTCCCATGTGTTTTTGTGGGTCCCCTTCACATTGTAGATGCCTATTTCTCTCAAAATTTCTTTCAAGTATATCTGAAAGAAAACGAAAGTTCAAATTAAACAGGCAGACAATTGCCACAGTTCCTACATACCTGCTCAACTGCATGGATGCAGTTCCTAAGGGGCAGACAGCCCAGCTGGCTGATGAGCACTAACTGGTGTGGGAAGGACTCTGGGATAGACTTGGACCCTCAGGCACCAGCAGGGATTAGTGCAAGCCCCAGGGATGCAGCAGGGAGCACCCGAGCCCCAGGGGTGACAGCTCCCAGGCAGTCCCTCTGAGAGGCAAGTACTCCAGGGGCTGCTGAAATGAAGTTACCAGCACCTCTTGAGAACTATTAGCTCACACATCTTCCTCCTGCTAGAATTCCTCCAATTGATCTAAAAGCTCTTGACCTTTCTTCCTGCTTGGGCTGGGATTATCTTGAAAATCCTTGCCTTATTCACACTTTTTCAAATCCTCAAGCTGTTGGTTTTCATGCCATTTTGCAAAGCTTTAAGCATTTTATTACGGTCTCATTTTTAGAGGAAAGCTGAGTAGATGTCTGAGAATTTTCTAATACCTTAAAATTAAGGCTTGGAAGAGAAAGAAAAAACACAAAACAAGTAGAGCTATTATACCAGTGGTATAATCCTTGACAAAACACTACTCACTGATATTGCCCTCCTTCACTCTTTATAATAAACACCAGTAATTTTCTTAGGAGTCACAAGAGCCTGCTTGTTTGTTTAATTATTAATTGGGACTGAGATGAGTGGATTGTCATAGCAACCACAGACCACAGTTTAAGAATCCCCACATTTAATTCATAATTCCTCAAGTTGGAGCAATTTAATCCTGTTGGAGTGCTTATGTTGAACTGGATTTGTTGGAATGCTTGTATTTTCTTCATCTACAGTTCCATTAAGTGCAAATGTCAACATACTCCATTAAAAAAAACCACAACAAAACAGATGTTGAAGACACAGGAAAATAAGAAAGGCTGATTGTTTAAAGTCTGTTCCTTACACTCTTCCCCGCTCTGCTAAATGGAAAAGCTAGGAAGGAAATACATAAACGAAAAAGTTCTCAGACAGTAAAAGAAGTGTCTTTTAGAGAAACTTATCCTTCCTCTCCCTCTCCAGGTACACATCAAAAGTATGTAAAGCAGCGCAACATGTAAGAAATGTGACTGTCACGGATGTGCATATGAACCACTTTCTTAGGTCTTTTTAGGGCGTTTCCTTTGAGGAGAGCAGCTGGGCACAGGAGCAGGGAGTTCACTGTGCAGGGATGGCTCCTCAGCCTTTGGGGGTGCCAGATGCAAACCCCAGCAGGTGGCAGCAGGAGATCACCGACGTCCCCTCACACACCTCGTCTGTTGAAGAGATGCCGTCATTATTCCTGTCAGGTACCCGGGTACAACAGCGATGCACCACGCACCGTGTAAAAGGTGCTGGGAGCAGGTGAAACAGCCACTTCTGCATGGGTGTGTGCAGATGTGCACACCTGCATATCCACTGCCTGCTCTGCAATCCCTGCACACGAGGAAGTGTCATCAACAGACACTTCAAAGCATAGCAGAGTGGGTGGGAGAAACACCTGGCTGCAAGGTTAAATTCTGCTCTAGATCACATGGACAGAGAACTGGAGAAAATCCCCCATAACTGCACTCAGTGCCATGAGATACATTCATGTGCAGTCCTGAGCTGGCAGATCTGGTCTGCCTGGGAAGCTGGGTCACAATGTGTGATGCTACTACTGGGCTCAGGCAGAGTGAAACCACCATGAACGAACTTTCCACAGCACTCACCCAAACCCATCCACCCAGCTACATGAAGGCTATTTTTAATTTCAACTACTTTTCAGACCTAATTACCCAGGCACTTCTGCTTCTCTCAGGGAAAGACTTCCAAGAGTGTAATGAAATGGAACAAAACCCACCCAAACTGAAAAGCAAGGTAAGGTCTGTGCCACAGATAATGGCACTTCAAGCTGGAACCATGAACTGCAGCAGCTGAGGATTTGCTACATACTCCTGTTTCCCATCTGTCCTGCAGGGGACAGCCAGGCAGCAGAGGTGTTAGGGAGGGCAGCTGAGAGCATTAACCTCAAAACACTGTGTGTGCACAGACAACACTGAACTGCTGGAGTTTTTAGACAATTATGAAACATGGATAATCCCACTGTGCTGTACTGTACCTGAGAGCAAGTGGCTTGAAGAGATGAGTTCAGGGGATGCTATGATTCTTCCTGCAGGATCAATTCTCCTTCTAGAAACCAGGACTCCCCACCTGGGTCTACACTGCACCAGGCTGGCCTATACATCTTGAAGCATAGTGCTCTGATAATGTACCATGGAGAGAAACCCCACACTACTCCGTGAGATGCCAAATACTGAATTTTAGAGCCTGGTGATTGCTAATCAGGGAGCAACAATTTTTTCTCAGAAAGGGATGCAGTGTGTTTATGTACATTTAATTCTAGCACAGACATTCATCTGTAGGTGATCTGTTCATATATTTAAAGCATTCTCTGCTCTGTTCTACCTTTCCTCATGATTTTTTTCCACATGAAGTGTTAGAATGGAATTATGGGATAAAAATTTCTGAGGAGTTAATTTACAAGCTCTGAAAATCCTGAAACTTTGAGGAGGAAACAAACCCCGTTGTATTTAGGATAACCATTACTTAAAGCTAAAATAGAAGAAAAAATCCAAACAATATACTCAATTTTTTAAAAAATAGAGTTCATCTTAGACCACTGGCTCCATCCTGGTTCCATTCTTCACAAATATTTGATTCCTCACAGAGAGTTGTATTATGTTCTCAGCCACAAAGCCCAAGTCTGGAATTACTGCAGTATTTCCAGGGAGCATTCAATACTTATATCTGGGTAGGTGGCAAAAGATTTGCCTACTTCTGCAAATTGTTATTTTGCGTTAGAATGAAAAACAAATCCAGGTTTCCCTAATATAGCAGTAATTTACATTTAGAAAATACTTGTTTTATGATTTCATGACACAAAAAAAGATAGCAGCAACTTCTTGTGTAACATGTAACACATTCTGTAGCAATGATTAAATTTACTATTTACATTTTACCATTATGTAGGAAAAATACCTGTATTTATTTGTAACTTCAAATTCTCCAGTGGCTTAAGTGGGAGTTGTGGGTGACTACTGCAAGCTGATGTCATGGTAGATGAGATATATCTGTACTGACTTGCATTCAAAGTGATCAAGATAGTGACTGCCACACTTCTCTTACCAAAAAAAAAAACCAAAACAACCCACTTAAAATTTTCTTGCCACTTCCTCCGTATCTCCATATCTTCCTCCTATTCCTTCCTCCTTCTCAGCTCCCATGACCCACACACCTTCACTGCCACAGAGATAAGGACCTGACTCTTGAGATAAATGAATGGAAGATATGGTACTCAACTTTCAAGTTTCTTTCAAGGCACTACAAAACAGTGAACCTACATGGATTCGACTTGGGTAACATCTTCATACAGCTTCTAACCAGATTATTCACTTACACAAATGCTGACAGAGATACACTTCATTCTAAATGTGAAGTGAGCAAAACTAGTAAGCATCTTAATTTCTGCCTCTTTTCTTTAACAGAGTATTTTTTCCATAATCCAGCTGTTACTGTTCTTTCTTCTGTTTTAGCTCTAACAACTTGTGACATTGTTGCTCCGTTTAGACTCAAACATAATTAAGTTCCCTAAAGTCTTCTGAAATCTGCAGGTGGGTTGAGGATAGATATTGAAGTTGGCAGTAAAAAGCATCAAAACCACCAAAGGTCCTTTGCCTGTCAGTGTCTCCCTTCCATCCTTGTCTGCTCAAAGAAAGCTTGAACATGGAAAGAAGGGAAAGAACTGGAAAGTTATGGTTCACACATGAAGGGGCTGACAGACATTGCAAGACAACAAAACCATCACATATGCAGATGTCTTGGTGCTTTCTCTTGTCTGTGCATCAAAACACTGTTTAAAAGAAAACCCCAAATAAATCCTAAATATCAACCACCTAAACTCTTATCCTAAAAATTACCCTATTTGTCAAGGAAATCCAGTGATTTTTGGAGCCATTGTCACGAATCCTGAGCTCCTAACATGGATAATCCCTGCATTTAATACAAATCCCACGAAATATAGAAAAAGAGCAACCCCTGTTCCTATGCCAAAATAAAGTTCAGAAGCTGAGGGAAGGGCCAACCATAGATTAACACAAGCTTGCTACTGCCAAGAGAACTAGGTTTCAGTGAGGACAGGAGTTGCAGGGGAGACACGAGAGCATTACTGAATTTGGTTCCTAGTATTAAAGCAAACCTAAATAAAAAAGAGACCATTTAGGACCACTGTCCTACATTGCTGAACCTAAAACTTGGTGATTTCAGTTTGTTGTAAACATATTTAGAGAGGAGTTTCTAAGGCATATAATATACATTAAACTATTTTCTGGATATATAAAATGCACACACTAGTAACTACTGAAAATGGTTGTATTTACAAGACTTGCAGTACGTACCACTGGCTGTTTGGTTATGTCCACCAGGTCTTTAATATTGTAATACTGATGTTTCTCAAAGGCTGAAAAAAGCATGTCCAACACTTGTTGTTTATCAGCTCGAGCTCGTTTTCCATCTTCTTTCTTCTTCTTCTCATATTCAATCTGTCACAAAACATGTTTTAAAGACACTCATATGTAATGCTGTATAATTCTCAGTGCTGAACATTAAGCTACAAAGAAACCTCTTCCATTTAATAAAACACTGTTTAATGACTCAATGCTTTTCATCTGTAAAGTTTTCTTTTGAACATTCAAATATTCTTTCATGAACATAAACTAAGCATTTTGTCCTCAGCACAATAAGCTTCTCAGATGAGTACATCTGCTTTAACTAAAAAAAAAAAAAAAAAGCAGAAACAGAGCCTGCAGGTGCCCAAACCTGGAAAGAGAATTAAGGAAAGAGCACAGGAATCCAAACTGACAGTATTCTCTGGTATCAGCTTCTGAGGTACAATGACAAATGTCAAACAGCCTCCAAACTGCCATGCTTGGGAATATCCACAGACTACATGGCTACATCCGCAATCGTAACAAGCACCTGCCCAAAGGATGCTCCCAACAGCCCCTTCAACACTGCCTCGTTTTCTCCAGAAACAGCACTCAAGGCATCAGCTCCATCAATATACAACCAATCTTCAAAGACACACTGAGAATCCGGATGGTTTCTCTTCAGGAGAAACCAGAGTAGCACACATTAAGTTACACTAGTCCCAGAAAACCAAAGTTTCTAAGCAGGCAGAGGCCCCTTTTTGCCACACATCATCCTACTTCAAACTGTGCATTAAAAATTACTTAACCATTATAATCTGCACCAGATGACTATATATTTTCACAGAAACTTTTATCACCTCCAAAAATACTTCCTCTGATTCATCATCAGAAGCACAGACCAACTCACCCCAAACAAACCCCAATCACCATAGAGCAGCAACCGCGACACCTGCCAGCACATCACCCTATCCACCCCCAATACCACGCTCGAACAAAAAAACATCCATCCAGCTCCTTGGAACCAACAAAAGTGATCCAGAAGGTAGTGTAAGTCATGTAATCATCAAGTGCTTTCAGGCAAACTGCGTGGGTGAATCCATAGCGGCACAATGTACAGCAGAAAAGATGCATGTGATCAATACGGGACACATGCCTGGCTGTAAATGGGATAATTCTGTACGGGACTCATTCTGCTTATGATGGCTCAAATCTGACTCTCAAAAAGAAGACCTTCAGATGAAAAGCCTAGAAATGAAAATGCACAGATCTACTGGATACTAAAGATCTTATTTTTAAGAAGAAAGATTAGTTTTATGGCACAATTTCTTTTTTCCTATGTATCCTTGCCAGCTAACTCCCTCCTACTCTCAGAGTGAAAATAGCTTGTCTCTTGGTAGCTGCCCCAAAGTGGCTAAAGACTATTGCCACCTTTGCCATAGCTCCCAGGTCTCCAGCCAGCCAACTACCTCCTTCATATTCTGAAATGGATGTACATCATTAAACTGGATGCAAAGCAATTGTTCCCAACCTGTAGCTTGAAGTCTCTTACTTCTGCTTTAAAGCTAAAACGGGTGCGCAACTGAATGCATGCCTGCTTTTCTAATTCTATGTAGTGTCATAAAAGCTACAATCTCACCACACAAACCCATCATGCTGGATTTTTATCCAGTAACAGTTTAGTGTAATTATTTAACTATTTAGCCACTGCATTTAAAGAAGAATAAATCTTCAAAACAGTAATGGCTTTGCAACATAAGCAAACTGTAACATCAAGCAAACCAGCTTGACAGTAAATTGTATTGGCTGCCATGATCCACAGCAGAAATGCTGCACCACAGACACAAGAGGAGGAACATAAACTTATGATGCTGGCTTGCCTTTAAACAATAGCATGTCAAAACATTTGCTTCTTCTGGAAGTCCAACAGACAATTATTATAAAAATTTCATGTGAATATTCCAATATTCTTAATTCATTAATGTAAAAAATCAACTCACATAGAAAACTGAATATCAAACCTCCCTTTTACTGAAAAGTTATTAGCAGCTGCTGCCCCAGTTGCCCACTCTCTAATTACCAACACTCTAGCATTTCCCTCTAACGTCAGCAACAGTTTCCACTGTTGCCTAAAAGCAAAGCATAATGAGAAGAGCTAAAAAAAAAAAAAAAATAAGCCTTGTGTCTTCTGTTGCTGATTTCTTCCTTTTCGTCTTGTGAATACACTGCTCATAGCAAGTTACAATGCAGCCTTTCATTTTTTTCCTTCCTGTTTTCTTTGCGAACAGGATCTTTAATGTACGTGTAATGCACTTTTTAATAGCCATGTAATAGAATGCACCTACACTGTAAACTAATTAGTTTTCTTTAAAGTTCTGTGTCTTTTTTTAATTTAAAAAACATTCAAATACAATTTGATTTCAAGGAAGAAGCATTTTAGAAAAAGCTGCTTAGCACAGAAGCTGTGAGTTTATCCCCAGAAGAATTTATACTGAAATCAATTTTTCTTTGTTTACCTTCCCAGGATGTTGCTAAGCTTGCTGAAAAGCTGCCAAAATTACCTTCTTGAAAGTATCATTAATACTGAAACTGATGTAACTGCTTTGGTAAACAGCAAATAGAAAGGTGATAGAGAAGCTAGAATAAATCCAAATTTCATCCAGCAATGCTTTAGAGTAGTCTTAAAGGTTTTCTTGTCTCCTGGAGCACGGGTATCAACCTCTATAGTACAGGATATTGGGAAGAGAGAACCACAAAGAAACCACTAAAAGAAGCCTCTAAAGGGATAACCAGAACCACTTTTCTGCTGTATTATGAAAAGTAATTAAGTGACAGAAAGGTTCCAGCTGCAAGAATATTAACTTTGCAACTTTGTAAACACATTTAATATTTATAGATATAATGGAGGTCTTGTCCCAAGAAGAAAATCTAAGTTACAATCTTAGCATATATTGTAAAGCAATTGCAATTTCTTCAAATAAAAATGTGGGCTTAATATAATTTCTTGGAAAAATAACCTAATCACTTTCCCAGTCCTTGAACTCAAACAAGCTATTGCTATTCCCCATCCACAAGTAATTTATTTCCCTCCTCCTTCCTGTTGTATGTTCATTTATAGGTACATGGAGCAGCCACACTTAAGCCCCATTTTATATTCTTTCCTTCCAGAAATATTAACCCTTTCTATCTTACTTAGTAAATCCTCATTCTTCCCTCAAAATCTGCCCAGATGATGGCTGTATTAGCGCATAAGCAGTTTGTAGATTTTTATTTCTTTCTTGTGAAAGTCCTGTCCCCAACACAGCACCCATATGATTACAGGCAAAGCAGGTTCTAAGAAAGCGGTTGCTGCTTGAAAACAGCAGAAAAATTCAACCAGGAGGTTTTACAAGTTCATAGACTTTTTCTCCTAGTTACATATCCTTTCAGCCATCTAACCTGAACCTTAATAAAAGACTCTGTGAAAATAAAGACTTTGTAGAAAGTAGTCCTGCCTTGGTCTTTAGAGTCAAGGCAAGATCAAGGTGACTAAAGTACAAGTATGTCTTACAAGATTTTTCCCATCAAAACACCTTTAAGGTAGACATGAAAACTAAACACACTGCTGATGGATTTCCATGACTATGGACAGCTATGTAACCAATAAAAACATTACAATTAGGACACAAGAGCATCACCACTTTTAACAGGCCTGGTTATGTTCTGATTATACCCCCTGAAATCTCACACAAGATTTAAACTTCCATAATGATATGATGACCTGCAGTTTGCAGCTGGAATAAAGATATAAAGATTATCTCCAGCTTGAAGTCATACTGCTGTGATTATGCTGGTGTTAGGGAAATGGAACAACATCACACTAAAAAGAGAAGCTGTACCCCACCAAAGCTTATTCCCGAATTAGAAAAGGAGAACACCAGCAGCATCATAAAACAATATACCCACGTAAAACTGCATCTGCATAGTAGGACACATCAGTGTGACTGTTTTGGTTAAATAAAATTATCTCAGCTGCAATAGTTATATTGGTATGATCATCCATGTACAGAGAAGACTTTGAACAGTAACTACTACAAAACAGCCCCAAGAGAGAGAAATTATTATTTCTGGTTCTGTGGCAATAGACTAGTGTTCTTAATAATGCTAAAATATCACCCAGTATATTGTCACTTGTTTCATGTAAATAAAATCTTAATAAAAAGTGTAAAAGTTTAAGTGACTAACAGTGATTCATTTTCAGTATGACTTAATGTTCCTCACATTCAACATAGTCAAGAGGATCTTTAAGGAAAAGGACGTTACAGTTTATATGTACATCAACTGATCTGGAACAGCAGTGTGGGTGTAATATTGACAAAGCCAATGATGCCAATAACATGCACTGTGAAGGTATGAAACTGAGAAAAATTATCAGCTGTTACTCTTTTCTACTTGTTGCCAATTCTTCCAAAGGATTGGAAACTGATGATTCTTTTCAAGTCCTTTACCCTCCTGCAGATGATAAATTATTTGGCTCAAAAGTGCTTCCACATCTCATAGCACAAAGCCAGAACTGCCTTTCATCCACAAAGGTCAAAATTACATTAAAAAAGAAAAAAAAAATTAGAGGAAGAATGTAATAAAGCCACTAAAAAGGGTTGGGTGAAGGTGTTCTGCCCTCCATCAGATAACACAAGACAGTTACAACTAGCAGACTTTAGCCCCTAGGGTGATATCGGTCTTGAGACAGAAAGAAGTTCTCGAGAAGACAAAATCAAGGAGAAACCAGATGACATAAAGCATTGCCAAAGACAGTGGCCAACTGTGAGCAAAAGAGCTGCTGGACAGCAGCAGAGCAGTCCTGGAGTCCTAAGCCAAATTCCTCCTGGAGAAAAGAAGGGAAAATACCAAAAGCAACTTACATTATACTGATGATTAGCCACTGGTTTATAGTTTGTGGTTACAGCTTTGTCCAGCTGCTGTGATAACCTCACAGGTTTAGAAGATTCTTCTATCTGTAATCTACAAAAAAAGAAAACAAGAATAAAAAGTTCAGACAAGCACACACTCAAAAGTGAATTCTAAAAATCTGCAGTTATGAACCAGCCATTATCAAAGGTCAGTTGCAAACAATCCATAAGGCAAAACAGATGCACTCTTCTGAATTAAGTTCTTCCTACTGTATTTTTGCTTAAGGACACTGAACTATTAGGGTGCTACATTTATTTTTTATATATATACATATATATGTGTGTATATATATATAAATTATATTATATTGTATCTATTATATTAATTATATTATATTATGCTACAGAAGATACTGAAATGCTGGAAATCAAACAAGTGAAGAAGAGATACTATAAACAAAGTTTGAACACCAATTTCACTGCAAAAGCCTAATGCTCAGATTGAAAAAAGCCCTTTCTCTTAAAAAGGATCAAACCCAAACTAATGTAAAATCTCACAGCTTACTCAACTGAGGGATGAAAAAGCTTGTCATCCACCTCTGCTAACTCATGAACTTCTCTTAGATATTTAAATGTAAAAACATAAATTTCTGTGACCTTTCTTTTGGCATTACAATATAGTAAGAGTGCAAATAACGGTTTCAAGAGCCTTATAAAGACATGAAGACAGAAAAATCCACCCAGCTTCAAATCAATGTGCAATGAAGTCTCTATCACACAGATAACAATAGGTGACCTTCAGTTCTCTTTGGGAAAGACTCTCAGAAGGACAGAGGTTGAGGACATCTTGTCAATATCATCCCTATGTAATTTAAAGCTTCTGTATGTTGATGTAGAGGGAGCGTTCGATTTAATTCAGATTTAGCATTCAAGAATTTCTATTTGAAATGAAGAGGCGAGAAACCAAGCTCTAGAAAAGCACAGGACAACGGCCCTTCAGACACAATGGCTTTGTGGCACATCTGATTAACATGTTAATTATCAGTGAAGCTGTTTTGTTTCCAAAGGTGTATCTTGTAGGCAGAAGAGTCAATTTCCACTAAACACAGTAAAACACAGCCCAATAAATGGACAATGAAGCTTGCTTCTTTCCAAACAAAAATTAATATGGTGACATTAATGCAAATAACAACTGCATGTTTACTAGTGTAAAACATAAAATGATAAAATTGACAGTTCTTTAAAAACAACTGTAAATGTGTGACATCACTGATTTATTTTTGTAAAGATATCATTTACACACAAAAAGATAAAATTTAAATTCAGCATGTTTCTGATTTAACACCTGAACAACCAAAATAAATTACATCTGAAGGAAGTATTAAATTAAGAAATACATTCTCTAGTTGTAGCAACTTGAAAGAAAGAAAATCATCCCTCATAGCTGGTATTGCTGGAGAACAGGTGGGGACAGGTTTTTTCTCATACACAGATAAACATGCTTCTTCTCAAATCTTTGCAGACTTGTCATTCTTTCTGTAGCTTTAACTACTCTTAAGCAATCATTGCTTCATATTCTACATTTTTATATCAAGGCTGCCTTCTGTCCAAATGTAGCATGTTTCCTTCTTAGCTTGAAGGAAAATCAATTGGAAGCTAAATGAACAGTGAATATTTTTTGCTTATCACAAGAGTTTATCTTCTGGCCTTCTATCTAATTAAATTATTTTAAAGATCTTTTTTTTATCTGGTTACCAAAGGTCTTCTAAACTCATGTTTCACAAAGAGGCATAGGCCAAAACTAAATCACCATCCTTTCTATGAATCTGTCTTTTTCTCAATTTTTCCATTGCTTAATATTTTTCCTTTTGGTCTCAATAACTTTTTAAAATTTTAAACAGTTTGGCTTTAATTCTTTAATTTTTTTTCCCAGTTCATCATGTTTCCTATTGATTTGATCTGGGGAGTTTTCCAGTCCTCCTTCTCCTGTATTCTAACTATTTTTCATCTCACTTCTCCCCCATTTTTCCTTTTCATAAAGGAGATTTCCTGTTCAACCCATTTACTGATACTGCTCCTGTTCATGAGACAGGGGCTCCTTGAGACAAACTGGGAATTCTTGTCACTCTCTTCCCCTCCAAGGCCACTGCACCAACTTCATGTGCACCAGATTAAGTTATTTGATTTACAATGTTGCTCCAGAGTCGTCCTCATAATGGCTATGGCACAGGGTCCTAACAATACTTAAATACGTCAGATGGTGTCACATTTTCAGGGAGCACCAGGCATTCAACTGTGGCATTTCTTCATGATTAATCCTCCTTGCACTGGGTTTTATTTATATTCATTACTCTTTACAATGTAAGTTTACAATATCCTCCATTTCTTCAGGTAAACAGCCAAAGAACATTAGCTCTTCAATGATGAAATGTCAGCCATGGACTTTAGACACCACTCATGTTCAAGGCCTCTTCCTAATTTGGCATTTTAAAATTACAATAGAGAAAATTCCAACTCCCATTCAGTGCAGCTTCCTTAAATGAATTCTTCTTTGCACTAAAGTACACCAGCAATTTATTTCTTAACATTTGTCTTGTTTTGCAATACAAGATGTAACCAAAAGTATGTATTCTATTACCAACTATTAAAACCACATGTGGCAGTGTTCTTTACCTCTTCCATGACCCATCGTCCCTCCAGGGGGATATCTTCTGTTAATGGGCCAGTGAGTCTCACTTCAGGACTGATAAAATTACATCATCCCAGTGTGAGATGCTCCACCCAGGGGGAGGAGCCAAGCATTCCTACCTGGATAGAATCTGAGACTTGGAACACCACAGGCAGCCTTTTTCCACTGGATTCCCAGAAAAAAAACAAACTGTTCTACATCACCACTAGACCTTCAGAAAAAAACAATATCGTTCTATAAGATCACTGCTCCAACAAAACCACATCTGTCACTCAAGAAAAACTACAACTACCACTTAATCAAACTACTACGAACACCCTAACCAACAAAATGTCATTATATTCTAACTCTATCAGTATTTTTTAATATTACTATATTTTATTTTAATTTTCCTATTAAGTTGTACTTTTTTTTTACATACTAATAAAACCCTATTATTTCTATTCCAATATCTTTACCTAAAAGCCCCTTAATTTCAAAATTATAATTTAAAAAATTAGATTTTCCATTTCAAAAAAAGCTCCTACCTTCCTTAACAAACACCTATCTTTTCAAACCAAAACAACATTTTTCACTCACCATGCAGAAGGATATGCATATATTAACTTGTCAATTTCCAAACCAGTAGAAAACCAAACATGTAAGAGAGCTAATACCCTTCTCAGAGGCCTCCCTCCAAAGGTTGATGGAAGTGAAGGTACACTTAACAAGTTAAGTTCTCCAGCACACAATCTTGAAAACGAAGAAAAACTTACTGTCTGCATAGGAAACAGGATGGAAGCCAACCAAGTGAAAATGGAGAGGGATCATCTAAGTTTGTTTGTGAAATGGCAGAAGACTTCAGAAAGATCTATACATAGCAAGTAAAAAATACATCAGCTACAAATGTATTTCTCTGAAATTTCAGACATACTTGTGTTCTACTTCAGTAGTTCTTGTGAAAGGTTTCCAAATTACAACCACAGAACTCACAGATCTCAGATGATCTTTAGAAAACTGGCTTACAGTAAAATAACCTTTTTTATTTTTGTTTCTACTACTGTAACGTGAGCTAAAAATATACTGCTTTCCTGATACTACTTTTTAATGCAAACAATTACACCAGTGGCCACATGCCAATATGGAAATTTATATGGGAAGGATGGTGACTCAAGAGGCAAACCTTTTTATTATAGCTTTTATTCTACACAGGCATCTTGCTCTTCTCCCTAATGGCTGCTCTTCCCATTTATTTTTCTGCAGCTCTCACGATTTCACAGAGCCTCAGGTTTAATTCCCTTTACCTTCCTTGCACCGGGCTTCCAGGTATAATATTGTCACACAATCCTGTGTGGAATAATAGCTGATGCACATCTGGAGTTGGCCTCCCAAAAACATACAAATAAAGGGGCTGACAAACAAGGTATAAACATCAAATTAGCAAATGGTTCACGTGGGGATGAAGCACTGAAATTTGCTTAGTGTATTACGAAGGGTGAAGACAAATAGCCCATAATAATTTTGTAGAGATGGTTTGTTGATACAGACACTATCTGCAGGGAAAATACAGAATGGTTGTTTGGGTTTTTACAAGATGATACTGCAATTCTGTTATATTCAGAAAGTCTACATCTGGGAGAATATAATTGACTTTTTAAATTTGCATAGCTGTTGTCTGAAAAAAATTGATGAAATATATAAATTTATACATTCCAGTAATTATACACTTAATAATACATAACAAAAACTATAGACTGGGAATTATACTAGCCTTTTAGATGGATGTTTTAACATGTTACAGATGTAATTACTTTTAAGTGTTCATTTCTTAAACAGAATTTCAAAAGCAGTATTAACCAAGAAAATCAGGCAGTACTTTATGTAGGATTTTCTCAGAGTGGACCTGCTGAATCTTAATTGAAACTGCCGGTAGGAATACAGAAAAAAATCAATAGATATTCTGAGTCACTGGTGACACTGATTTAAAGGACCAGTGGCTTTTTACCTATTACTCTTTATTACGATTTGTAGGAATCAAAAGACTTAGTTATGGCTCTGAACGATACACAAATCTTGAAGGAATTAAATTTTACCCTGAACTCTTGCTGAAATAGCTAAAGCCATAATTCACGCTAATATCTGATCTAAAAAAATAGAGAGAAAATGCCGATATTTTTTTCCCCAAAACTGCCAATGAATTAGCAACAGAGCAGCCACCAGCCTGCACACTGTGGTTTTCTCTTCCACCCCCAAGATCAAATATAGCTCTTCCACCTTGAAATACAGCAAGTAACCAGCACGGCATTGAATTCATCATGGTCATTTTCACAGCAAAACACATTTCATACTGCAGCTTTGATTTGACACTGTGCTTACAGTTGAATAAGGGGAAAAAAACATTCAAACAGACTGGAAATAATTCCATAGGACTTGGCAACATGTAG